CCTCACACACATCCACGTCATTATCATGATGATGATGTTGATGTGGTACAATTAAACATTACAGCCTGTACTGAAATAATGAAACCTGACCTGGTTTCAGGCTTATAATTCTGCTCTTTGCGGCGTTATATCATGCTCATAAACTTTGAACTATACGTGTTTTTGGCAAGAGTGAAACAAAGGCTCACTCTTAAATCTTTAGCCCTTGAAGCTCTTTGCTGAACTGAGTGCTTTCAGACCTGCTTATGGAACAGAATAACTGCATGTTGGTGAGGATGGACTCTGCCAGTGCAGCAACCCAGGAACTTTTCTAATGGCCGTCAAACCACATCTTTATCAGCATACACCAAAGTATCAAAACTCATCATTAAAAGGTAGAGCAGAGGTAATCAAATCTAATCTTTGTGGGTTGAAAGAGTTGAGTTTATCATCATGCTCTAGCCATCCCATGTAGGGAAAATAATTCTTAAGAATCCACATTGGACTTTAACATTAAGGGCAACGATTTACACTCAATAAACACTATGTAAGGCATTTAAAAATGCAGCAATAGAGAAGAGGAGAAAAGCCTACTACTCTTCCTAGCACTGAGCTTTCAGCCTGACATCCACCAACAGTTAAAGCATCAGATTTCCTGTTTACCATCACATCGCAAAGAGCCAAGTTCTGACCTTTGCTGTAATCGGTAAACTGCCTGATCATCAAACTTACTATCTACATCTTGCTGTTTTTAGCCTGTTTACATATGGTGTAGCTACCATGTAGCCACCTATTAATTCAACTTCCCATTTCTGAGTGGCTTGTCCAGCTCCCTGCCCCTAAATATACCCAGCTTTATCTTCATTTTTGAGTGACTGAGGAGGAAGCATAGGGTCATTTTCCATAGACTTGTTTCTTTTTACAACCAGGAGTCACCCCCTGCTGACTATTAGAAAGAATGGAGTATTAGGGTACTTCCATGCAGGCTTCACTTTTAAGATCCAGAGGTTTTACATCCATCTTTTAAATACTATATGACATGAAAGTGAAGATAATTTTTAATGGAGGTGTACAGCAAGTTCCAAATTCACTGAATTTCAATGTTGGTTTTTGACTAAAAAAGCATCTTACAGTGCAAATGCTCCAAATAATTTAATCTTATCTGTAACTATGTGGTGGCCGAGTTGGTCAGTAAATGTGTGGATATAATGAATTTCACGTTAAGAAAAACCATTAAAAACTGAAAGGAATAAACATGGGACACAGTTTGAATATTCAGTCACCTTCTGTTGAACAAGTGGACATTCATGTCGACTGGTGAAGACAACATCATCTTCCTCTCCTAGAGCATCCTGCTCTGCTTCCAGAGCATGAGATTCTGCTTTCTGTGAGGTGAAGGGGGAAATGTTTAATTATAACCCGAATATGGAATTATGGGTTTGAAAAGAGGAACAAGCATGAGACACAGGCGCTCACATGTCTCGTTTGAGAGATGTTCCAGCTGCCTCCAGGAAGTTCTGACGTTGTTTCCTCTTGCTGCATCACCTGACAGGCAGCCAGTCTGAGTCTGACCTGCCTCATGCCTTCAGCAGACTGGAAAATTGTGGAAATAAATACAAATCCAGATTAATCAGTGTCACATTGTGTGAAGTCACACAAGGAACAGTGGAATCCTTCTGCAATCCAAGAACAGCACACTTTACACACTGCAAAATATAAACAATCCGACACAATAAAAAAGAAAGAAAAAGAACATATACAGATAACAAGGTCTCAACAAATAGATGGACGTTTGAGGCAGATACTGCAAACTTCAAATAAATGTCTTTTGAATTCAATGATAATACTTTTAAAACATATTTTAAAAACTTTAAATAACTTTAAAGGCTGAATCCTATAAAGAAGATGACTATCAGTTTACAAGTGGGATGAAAACTCGATGCACCCCTGGTGGACAATAAGAAATGCAGACACTCTTTGTAAATATCTACATTACATTAAATTTCTCAGCCACACCTTACCCACACACACGTCTCTGATCAACATGTCATTAAGGACAAAAAATATATACAGGTTTAAGAGCTTCTTATAATCAGGAAAGACTTCGGAAAGCAACCTCTGAGGCCTACAAATGGAGCCACAAACTGCACTTCTTCTAAAGGCCATTTGAGGCTTGATGCGAAAGATCGTCAGTCTCAATAGACTCACATGTTATATGAGCACATTTACAGTTTTGGTCTCTATGGATACTTACCCCCTTTAATGACACCTGTATGGTGGGTGAACATTTTATAATTCATCTGCTCGGATTTTGTTAAGCCTTAAAGTTAGGGTGTCGTCCTGTGACTGACAGGAGGTCCTAAATAGGCAGCCGTGGCCAATCAGTGTCTGCTAGGCCTCAGCTTCACCTACTTGAAGTAACTGAACTGAACTATTTTGCCATTTTTAACATCACTACCATCCTACCCTAAAAAGCAACTAAGCTGAAAGCACATCTAAAACTCACATCTCACTAAAGTTTAGTTCTCTGGAGGGTGCACACATTGTACCTGTAATTATTTACTAATATCTCACCTCCTGAGGTCTCCTTTCCATCACCCTTTGCTGTGCAGCAGTTCTCACTGTCTCACCTTCACGATGGGTCCAGATGACTCGCATGTCAGGTGTCACCTGGACAAAAAATACACCATATGCAACAATACAGGACAAGCAGACAACAACATCAGCAGCAGCAGGAAAGGCAATCAGAGGGCTCAGCTATCCATGTGTTTAAAATGTGGTTTCACAAAGTTTTCTCAGATATGAGGAGCTGCTTCATCTAAGGGTTTTATGTTACATCAACATAATCAACATGCCATTTAATTAGATATTAAACGTAATAAAACACCTGGAATATATTTGATAAATTTAACAATGACAATGATAGTACATTACAATTTGTTTTACCTTTTCTAAATGATAGTCAAAATAACTCAATAATGTTAGCTATAAATCTGGTTAGCTGCAGTGTTAATTTCAGGTGGGAATCTGGGGTGAAAGGAACATAATTAACACTTCATTTGAGTCAAGTTTTTTTTTTTTTTACCACTGGATCTGTCTGCAGCTGCTGTCTCTTCTTGAACAAATGTGCTTTCTGTGCCACACGGTGGCGCACTTCATCCTGAAAACGCTGAAGGCTCTCTTCGTTCTCCCTCCTCTTCTCTGCCTGTAGCTCATCAGTCAGCAAAGCAAGAGTCTAAACCAAGACACAGGAAAACTAGTTTCAAATACTGTAGTGAAGAAAACCAAGGGCAACTAAGACTTGCACCAGCTAACCTTATATAAAATTTGCATCTAGGGCAAGTCTACTTGCCAGTTAAATGTCCTTCTATTCTTTAATTAATGTAAAATCCCCCTGTGTCTATATTGATATTGATAAGTCTATAATCTTGCACAGTTGGAATTTAAATAGAAATTTTCCAGGTTTTTCTTACCAAATCACAAGTGCACCCATTCATTCATAGTCAGTAGAAGAGAGACAGAATACATGTGTGTTAATGAGAAGGAGACAGGTGTAATAGCGAAAGTGGATGACCACTCACACCAGCAGACAGTGCACATGAGAGGTAAAAAAGAGCGTGCAAGCAGGGTGGAGCAGGTGGAGATGAACATCAGGGTGATTTATGATAGTGAAATGTGAAATTTCTTAGAAACATAATTTTAAAGTGAAGAGTGATTTTAGATTAAGACCACCCAATGTGTGTGGACACACTGGATCTATTCAAAATTAATAACAGTTATAATAAATGTCTAAATTGCAATGGATTAAACTCCTCCGGTGTGAATATTTGCTTATATATCGATAGTTCTTTAGTATGAAGTAAATTTAAATGGAAAGGAGACGGGAAGGAGAGCTTATGTCAACAAACAGTAACTGTCAGCAGTTAGCTTCTCCACATCCAAACTTACAGCCGGATGCTCCACGAAGTCTTGTCCGCCCTCCACCCAGGCTCCCACCGCCACCACCGCCTGGTTCCTCTCAGCCAGCACTCTGCTGGCTCTGAAGGCTCGGTGTTCCTTCATCCGCCCGACTGGAGCTTTGTTCCTGCCGTTTTTAGGAGCTATAACCCGGTTAGCATTCATTGGTAGCCTGGTAACCAGGCTAACGTTTTAAGCAGGGCTAACCCACAGACAGCAATATTTTTACGCGGGCTTACTACAGACAGACACAGCACATACATCGACTCTATTATGCACAATCTCCACTGTTTAAATGGCAAAAAATATATATTTTTTAAAGCACCTGTTACGAGGACCTGTGCACAATCTAGACCAACTGGTTTGTTTGAGTTTCGCTCACTTCAACTTCTTTGAGCGTTTTGGGGTTCACCGGCGCATTGCTGCCCCCATCTGGCCAGGAGGAAACACTGGCAGGGCTGTCATCCCCACACACTGGGAAATGAAACTACTCCAATCTGTCCATTTCATAAATTATAGTAATAATTTCATAAACAATGATTACATGCATACATATAACTTGAAAATGTGTAAGAAGACTTTATAATAAAGCATTTTGTTGCCTTTGTGACATGTTGCTTTCAGTTTTGTCTTTTTTCTGCACCAAAATGAAACTGTGCTTGCCATAAAATGGAAATATAGGCCCTTCTCAGCTACTGTTGGGCTTATTTTTGCTGTTGCCATAGCATGCACAGCTGACAGGAGATCAGTGGGAATAATGACACATGCTCGCCCAAAAGGATATGTATAGCACTTAATAACTTCATGTGAGATTAATGCAAGAGATTATAGCTCAGAGGACACGTCTATCAAACATGCTTTTTCAAGGCTCACTAATCTGGGAGTGTTATTAGTTTTGCAGGCACAAAAACTCAGAAGGAACCAAAGGTTGACAGATTTCATCCAAGAATATTTGTACCAAATTTTATATGCATTCAAAAAATACTTATCTGACTCTCTAGAAAAAAAACCCCAATAAAAATATTTATAAAATTGACTTTATTCAGGAATCAGAGAGGGAGGAAAACGGAGGAAACTTTTGAGCAGTTTACAAGTCTGTAGTTTCAAGTAACCTCAGCTGTTTTTATCCCCGATGGAAATGTTTTTACGTGGACTGTCTGTATCACCTTGTGGAACGATTTAGCCTGTAATTCTTAAGAAAATAGTTACATGCAAGTTAAAAGTTTATATATGTTCTCCATAAAGCTGCAACAGCTTTCTTGGTATGCATCTGCATTTCTTTGGAAACTTTTAGGACCTATTATTTATGGACAGACTGAAGTAAATAATTAAACTTAAAAGATTTCTAATATTTTTTTCCTTAAAATGTCTTTATTTTAAAAAATGACAGCATTTTACGACAGAAAAATAGAATTACAGAGTGTGCAGCACGGACTCAGATATAAAGATTGCTCTGAAGGTCGGTGGTCCTGACAAACTTGCGCAGGGCATCTGTGCTTGGAGACGGATCAAGCTGAGGAGAAAGAGAAATGCAGGAAATTAAAATGAAAAACAGTTTCGTTTCATTTAAATACACCTTTTTGTTTTATAAACCCTCGTGGATTTGATGACTGATGTTCTCTAAAAACTTGCAAGGGTTTCAAAGTATATAAAAGAGATCTCGGGTATAAATAAAGCGCATTTCCATCGTTACAGTAGGCACTGACAAATTTGCTGAAAAAAAAAAAAAAAAAACTCATCTTCTTTGATCTTAGACACATGACTTGTGAAGTAACCAAAGACAATGTTGCCTGAGTCAGAGCTGGAGCATGAATCACTCTTGGATAATTCATCAGCAAGGGAAGAGCAGCTGCATCGGAAAGGATCGTTGATAATAAGTCAAACATGCAAACCTAAAACTTTCTTGGGAGATTTTAATCTGAGACTCCGAGGGCACTTTTTCGCAAAGTTTTATCAAATCAAAAATCTTAAAGGTTGAAAAAGAAAAATTATAACACAAGCTGCTGCTGGAATCCCTGCTTCTGGGTTTGGTTTCATTTGGGAACCATATTTCAGATAAATTCAACAGTGAAGCGCTTTCATTTGGCTTCCACTCTGATTCTGCCTCTCCTGCACTGCAACAAGCCGTCAAGGCTCATGGGTGTTGTATGGATTAGAGCTATCCACCACACAGGCCTGATGAACAAAAATGTGATTACTGACAAGATTAAGCCGTTAATGATCCTCGTAATAAAGTAAACCTAGAGAAGTTTCACATGAGTTTAGATTGTGAACTATGTCTACAAGAAATCTCAAAGGTCTAACCAGACAGTCTAAGGAGCTTGGAAAGAAAAGCGACTGTACTTGTTTAAGTTGCTTGAAGACGTTTCACTTCTCATCCGAGAAGCTTCTTCAGTTCTAAGAGTCAAATGGTGGAGAGTCCCAGATTCTCTCCACCACGATGACTGAGAACCTTCACAGACGTCTAACCAAACACTCACTCTTGTGGCCCGGGAGTCATTTTTGACCAGAAGGAGTTCTTTAACATGGATTAAACCCATCTAGGACTACCTTTATTTATCAGAACAATATAGCTAAAATTAGAAATATCCTTTTCATGCTGAAAACTAGTGCTGCTGCATTTGCATCTTTTGTGAAGGATTATCAGTGTGCGATCTATGCAGATGTCCTAAAGTGGGTTGGAACAGGAGATTGAGTTCACCACAAAGCCCAAAAACATGTTAAACATTAAAAAACAACAGGAGAAACACAGAAAATGCAGTGGACGCTTCCTATTGTTTTAAATACTCTGTATGAGTCTCTGTTATAACGTTGCTTTTCTGGCTTCTGGTTAACTTGATATCAGGCCCCTCTTTGTGCAACAAGCTCCCAGTTAGGGTATAGTTAGGCTGGAAGAGGTGACCCTGAGCTATCCCGTAGTTAATGCTGCTGCAGGCTCAGACTGCTGGGAGACTTCCCATGATGCACCGACCAATCTCAACTCTGCTCTTCTCATTCACAATGCATCTATACACTGCTACTGCATAGCATTAAATTCTGTCTGCTCGCTCCTGTAGTTTACTTTGTATTGATCTCTCTCTGCTCTCCCTTTGTCTCTCTTCTCTTTCCCATCACTTCTCTGAGCCTGGTTCTGCTGGGGATCTCTTCCTGTTAAAAAGGTGTTCTTTCTTCCCACTGTCGCCGTGTGTTTGCTCATAGGTAATCTTCTGATCATTTGGGTTTCCTCTTGTACTATTGCAGGGTCTTTACCTTACCATATAACATGTCTTGTTATATGGTAAGGTTATTGCGTTGCTCTATAAATAAAATGTAGGTGAATCTTAAAATAAATAGAGGTTGACAACAAAATAACAAATGCTGAGCAACCTATTTACAAAATGAAAGTGTTTATGACTTCTCTTAATCACACACCTTTTCAGGAGACACTTTCTTTCAGTTTCACTCACTATCTGTGACTTTTAAATGACCTGTGGGAGCTCTGACTGTGGCTATTGCTCGAAAGACAGACCTTAAAATTGAAATAAACTTTTGAAAGTTTGCTCCTCAAACTTTACAGCTCTATTTCCATCAGCATTAAAACCTGCAGTGGCGTCATCGACTGGGGTTCAGCCAAGAGAGCAGCTCAGTAGATGTAGGACATTCGTGTGCATCCTTCCTTTGTGACCTTTTTAAAAGCCTCTTCAGATATAAAAAGGAAAAACAGCTCACCTGTATAGATCTGCCAAGTTTGGTTAATACAGGCTTGTAGGTCTCCATGGTGACAGAGTCAGGGCCAATGACATCACTGTAACACTGGTAAACAACAGCGGCGATGCGGTGGACCTGGCAGTGGTTCAGTACTGATGAAACAGCACAAAGAAGAAGAAGACACCAAGGTTATTGATATGAGGTGTGCGTGACCGTCCAGTGATCTCCTGATGATACATCTGTTTGTTTGGAACCTGCGTCTTTAAGAGCACTCGCACCAAAAATCAGGATGCAGGACTTTGTGTTCTCAGTGAGTGGAGAGGAGCCTAATGGCACCACATTTCATTCAGTTGGCAGAAACTGTTGTCCAAAGCGACTTCTCAAACACACACAGACACACATCAGGAGCAAACTGGGGTTCAGTATCTTACTCAAGGACACTTCAACAAGAAAAGCTGGGAAACAAACACAGCTAAAGCTTTATTTACAGAACTTTTACAGCCTATTTCACTTTGTCCCATTACTGAAGAGAAAGACTGGTGCTGTGCAGCAGAACTAGGTGTTAAATATGTGTCTTTATAAAGCACCTTCTTAAAGCCACTTTAAACGGAATTCAAGACCAAATTGGAAATGACATACACAGAAAGTGAAAATATTTTCAAGTTAAAACACTGATCTCAGTTCACAATGAACAGTAAGATATTTTCAGCACCTCGCTTATTTCCCAAGGGGTCACCACAGTGGAAAGAGGCAGCTTGCCTGATGCAATAATCCCATTAATCTGGTCTTTGACCAGCACTTTGAGTGCATTAACTTGTGACCTCTTTAGCCTGGACTTGTGTCTCCATCCAGGGAGTTTTGGCATGTATGTGTTAACCACTACACCACAGAGCCCAGATACAAAAGATGGACATAGCTACTGTGACGTCAAACTGAGCTTTGGTGTCTTGAAACCTTTTGCAGTGGGCAAGGTGTGGATGTGATTGAAACCGCATGCTCACAACCCAGTGACACGTCAATAACAAGACATTAGCATGAGCATACGCCAGATAAACCATTCTGAAATTTAAACAGAACAAAATTCACAAAATGGGCTTCATGTTTTAGTCAGCATGACTCAAATCACATGACCAAGCCCTTAAACTCATAAGCAAACAGAGGTTGGGGCCGAACGCTGCTTTTACAGACTTCTACAGTACTGGGGTGTTTGTGCAAGCACCGGTGTCGCCCTCTGGTGGTCATGAAAAACGTTTGAGGCAATTCCTTTGTTAAGGCCTAATTTATACCAGAAACATGACTTGTTGTATGTCTGTGAGAAAATTACTTCTTCCAGTTTCTTCTTTTCACAGTAATTGTCCTGGTCTACTACACTGTTTCAGATAAATGTCTTACAGAAGTAGGATAAAACTCCTGAGTTAACACATAAGACTCTATAGAAACTCTGTAGAGGGTTTTTTTCATTAATTTATAAAGAATGGGAATACGGTCTGCAGAACTAGAGCCTGACCAGTAAATCACCTGGCTTATATTTCTGGCTGATTTTGGCCTATCAGAGATTTATTCATGTATATGTTGTTCAGTAGGAGAATCTGGTGCTTGGCAGGTGTTGATTTCAAACATGGAAAGGAAACAAGAGGTGCACATGACACCAAAATAACTTAGGAAAGGTTGCCTAGAAGGCAGGAAATCTGGGTTAAAGGAAAATGCCTCCCTAACCCATCTGTAAGAATAAAGCTGCCATTCAATCAAACATCAAAGGG